TTATCGTCATTGAGAAGTAGTTTATCATTGGTCATCCAATTACGTATATCATCCACACAGTGCTGTATAGCAGTGACAGCCTCAAATTGCCCGGTGCTTATGTTTGGACTGAAAGACACATACAACTGCGTGTCGTCAGCGTAGCAGTGAAGGGAAGGTGCACCTTGATGACATCAAACAATTTGCTTGCATAAATCGTAAAAGCAATGGCCCGAGGCAAGAGCTCTGCGGTTCTCCGTAGTCCAAATTCAAACTCCGAGATAGATTTACTTGGACCATAACACGCTGAGATCTTCCATTAAGGTAGGAACGGAACCATTCAAGTGCCGTTCCAGATCTGCCAAATTTTGAGTAAAGCCGACTGAGTAAAACATTAATTGTGATCCACAGTATCAAATGCCGCACCAATATCTAATGAAACCAGTAGTGTTACATGCTGTTTGTTCATGTTCAACAAGATATCATTTTTCACTCTCAGCAACACTGTTTCTGTGCTATAATTCTTCCTATAAGATGACTGATTGGCAGGGTAAAGATTGTTCATGCAAATGTGACTATGAGTTTGGTTTTAAACAGCTGACTCTGTCAGCTTCGAAACAAATGGTAAGTTACTAACGGGACGAAAATTCGTGAAGAGAATGTCGAGGCCAGGTTTTTTAAGTAACGGTAAGACTAAAGCTTCCTTCCAGGCGACAGGAAATTGACCAGACATATTGATTAATCTTGTAAGTACAGGAAGTAGGACATCACATCGGCTGACCAAAGTTGAAGGCATAGGGTCAAGAGCACAAGATTTTAGAGACGAATGCTGCATAAGAGACTTCACGTCTTGTTCCGTTAATATCTTAAATTCAGTGAGGTGGACGAAAGACGACTCAATGCCCTCTATGTCGGGTTTATGATAGTTTACAGCACCATGACAATAGAGACGACTCCTAATATTCACTATTTTCCGTACAAAAAACTTCCCGAAGTCCTCGGCGAATTGAGCCCTATCAATAGTGGGAGGTAAACAGTCGGCAGATCCTCTGTCAAGTAAGCGATTACTAGCGGCAAACAGCTTCTTTTGATCCCCGCTGTTCTCCTCAATAAAATTAGTGACTTATTAAAAATTAAAACTCCCTACGAGCCTTGTTCATCAGAGCAGTTGTTGCATTCCTCTTTACCTTGAAGGCAGCCATGTCAGAGTCTAACCTAGTCCTTCTCCATCTCTTTTCAGCCTTTCTTCTTTCACGTTTAGCCGTCTTAATAATCTTAATAGTCTTATTTGTACACCCAAAAATAGCACTCATGTTCGATCACAGTAGATTAGGCCTGGAAAACAAATAGACCTATTCGTGTATTGTATTTGCATTAGCTGTTACTCCGTTTGAGAGACCATGGATGATTGGATGACCCCGAAATATAATTTTAAGGAACACACGCGCCACGATAGTCCCTGGTGGCCGTTAAATTTACACGTTGTATTCCCCTGTCTAAAAGGGAGGCCAAAATAAAAAATCAGGCCGGGACTTTTCAGTAACAAAAATCTGGTCCTATGTGATATGCAGGGTAATAATTATGGGCTTTTAGCGAAAACGATAAAAAAATTCCCAAAACCACCTTTTCGCCCAGCCGGACGGGTTCTCCCTTTTGACAGGCACCAAACTTGCAGTGCCGATTAATAGAGTTAACATTTACGCTTCAACATGATAGAGAATTTGTTATGTTTAGGTTTTATTTCCTTTTATTTATAAAACTGTTTATGATTTGTTATGTGTAATCTTTAAAAGCGAGCTATTTACGCCCGGCGTTTTGAGTATTCCTGCATGCGATGTTTATGTTCGACTGGAAACAACCGGTGCAGCGTTAAAAATTGCGAGAGGGACTACTAACAATCAATAAAATAAAAATAATTCGGTGAAACATAAGTTTCATTCACGAAGACAAGTATTGAGAGTACAGTGTCTCTGAAAATCATGAGTCGGGTAAGCATAAGCTTATTTATGTTTTAAGCCGGCTTCCCGGTGTTTGCTCTTTTTCAAGATGAACTCGAGGTAAGAAAATCGCTCAGAGCTTTCTGTTTACAGCCAAAATCATAACTAAATATCCTTCGGAACCTTCTCTTTGAATTTGCGGTCAAAAAATGTCTAAAGGCTTTTTAAACTTGATACTATTGTAGCTTAGATCATTGCTCGTGTATAAACTTAAGCCCTATAAACCATACGCTCCACTTCAGGAAACCGAAAAAAAATACACATCAAAGACAATAATTGCTCAGGCTTACCACTGGAGATGTTACTTGTGAAGGTCATCAAGTGTTCCAGGATCGCTTGAGACTTTTCAACCCTCTTACCCCTCAAGCAAGAGCAAGAGAGTAAGCTCATTTTTTTAATTTGAAAACGATGTCATCCGAAATCGGATTTCCAATGACTTTGACAAGCGGTGCATTTGTCAACAAAAAGCGCAATAAACAAACCAGCAATGAATTACAGCACAATCTTGATAGCAGCTGTATTTTATTTTGTATAGCAAGTAGAAAAAGACAGTTTAAAACATCACAAGATGACATAAAACTCTGTCAGCTTGAGCTATCGGGAAGCCAGTTTCCAGACGCGGCATAAATTTTCCGTATGAACTCACCTGTCAAATTTTGGCCAATCAGAACATAAAAATTGGACGTAGAGCGTTATCAACGCGTGACAGTGAGAAAAGTCAAAAGCGGTTGCCTTCCCTGCAAGTAAAAGCCGGTTGAATTTTCGCGTCCGAGGTCAGTTTGAAATCAAAATTTTAAAAGTGCGGCTCATGAACACGACTTCTTTCATATGCATTTAAAAAAAATGGAACTTGAGCCTGCGATCATTTGAAAAGTAGCAAGTTGTTAGCGGATAACTTCAAAAAAACACTCGAGCTCAGTGGGTCGATACCTGAGCCCGCGATACGGTCAGTCGATACTGGTCAGCAGAAACACTATTTTGACAGCTGTCAATTAATCAAAACATGGGTGTACAATATCAGGTTGCAGGCTCCCATACTAGCTAGAAAGTGTGAGATTAAACATTGGTATGCTTGTGGTGCGGAGGGACGGAAGGTCGGGTGGTCGGTATACGGTCACGTGATTACCGAATTTTCTAGAATGGATAGATTTTCTAAGCTATGGGGCTTCGAATTGAGCCCGTGATCAAATAAAATATCAGCGGAAAACATTAAAAACTACGTGACCTCAATGGATAGAAAAATGAACCCGCGATACAGTCAGGTGATGATAGTCAGCGTATACTGTAGTTTGACAGCTGTCAATTAACCTTCATTAGCATGGCGAATATTCGAATTAACAGACTACGAGTGTGACTAAGACATATCCATCTGGCTTGCAGTGGAAAATGCCAGATCGTGTACCTGAGCGAACCTGAGCCCACGTTATTAGTTTTCTGATAATAGTCTGCACATGTCCCATTTTGACAGCTGTCAATTGACCTTAATTTGGCTTGCCAATATAACTTTAAACGACTGTCAGCCGACTGACAGCCCTGCCCGGCGTAGTTTCGTTTTTATGTTGAATTGGTAAGTGTGACATACTATATCAGCTTACATGTAGGGGCAAAACGACTGGTCT